GGCCGCCGCCCTGCAGCAGACCTTTTATACCGCGCGTTGTAGACCCAGGCTAATGCCCGTGGGTGGAGCTCCGGACCGGACAGTCAGCGTGCCCAATAGAGAACGCACAGCGACTCCGGCCGAGCGCCGGGCCAGTGGGCGGCAGGGCGGGGTTGTGGCGAGACCCTGGCGACGCCGCCAAGTGAGCTGAGCGCAGGTTCCAGGAAACAAATGGAGCAGGGAGGATGCGGAGGTGCCGGGATGTAGGGGTGAGTGAGCAGGCAGATACTCAAACCCCGCAGTGTGAGTGCTTAGATGAGCCGAGTGCTAGGGTGCATGTATGCGTTCCCACCTCAGGAAGGTGCAGGGTACTCTTGTGCGGCTCACAACCCCTGAAAAACACATAGATCCCTGGCTTCTACTCAGAAGAGTGTGTGGTCTTCTCCAGCCACACAGAAGAGGGGATCTTCAAAATGTGCATGGAAAATGCGTATTATAAACTATGCTGGAGTTCAGTTTTTTCTTCTTCCACCAAAAATAAGCTCATACTGTTGCAGGACGGCTTGTGATGATACCCAGGTTCTTGATGTTTTTTTTTTTTTTTTTTTTTTTGAGCAAATTAATTGAACATGCCAATAGTGAAAGGAAAAGGTAGTTTATTAACTAAAAGGAAAAGTACACTCCTGACAAGTAGGAGTGGGCCTGGACAAAGAGTGACTCAAAAGGCCCCCATGGCGGGGGTGGGGGTGGGGGGGTGATTTCTCGCGAGTACACGCGCCCTATAGCAAAAACCTCTATCAAAAAGAAAAAGGAAAAACATATTCAACAACAAAGGACAAGGATGGTCTTAGAAAAGGAGTGATTATTTCTCCTTTGAGGAAATAGCAAGGCTTAAAGAGCTGGGGAATTTTATATACAAATCTTCTCTGGAGAACACAACTTTTAAACCCTTGACAGATTACTCTTAGTTATAAGATATATTCAGAGAAATACCTGTGAAGATCAATGTAAAAGACTACAGGTCTTCAAACTTGCCTGGTAATTTAGGATTTCTATTCAAATATCAACCCAAACCACCAGAGAAGCATGACTTTGGAATAACAAGTTGTTTCTTTCTTTCTTCTTCTTTTTTTAAAGAATAGTTTATTTAATTTCAATTATTTACTTATTTTGACAGGGAGAGAGAGCGTAAGAGGGAGGGAAAGTGAGAAAGCAAACTAAACTGCCAGTTCGGACCTTGAACCATGGTCAGCCATGTGGGAGTCCAACATCTTAACTACCACGCCATCTGTGGGTCCCAAGTTTTGACTGTTTTCTAAGAATCCTTTGGAAGAAATAGAAGAAGTAAAACCAAGATGAAACGAGAAAGGATGAAAAAAATTACAACTATTTGGCAGAGGGCATAAACCTATAGATGAAAAAGCTGAATAAACAGGATAAATTTTTTAAATTCCACACCAGACAGTGGTACGGCGTTAATAAAATTCTCCATGATGCTGGGGCCACATGGGATGAACTCAGGCTTGCATCCTAAGACCTCCCAATACACACTAGTCATATGTACACATGCCTGGGTTGTAGTGTGGCATACAGACTCTATTAAGAGTATCTGTCTGTCTCTCTCTTTTTTAAAGAATTAACTTTATTTATTGTTACTATTTTCCAGTGTGATCAGAGAGAGACAGAGAACGAGAGAGGGAATGTGAGAGCAAGCCACCAAGTCCGGGGCTCGAACTGTGGTCGGCTGAGAGAGAAAGTGAGAAAGCAAGCCACCAGGTCCGGGGCTTGAACCATGGTCGGCCATGTGGGAGTCAAGCGCCTTAACCACCGCGCCACTTGCCGGTCCCGTCTCTCTCTTTAGGAAGAAATAAAATTACATCTGAGCTAGCCAGTTGGCCCAGTTGTTAAGATAGCTGGATCCCATACAACTATCTGTGTGGTTTGAATACTGGATCCAGTGGCCTGAAAAACAACACTGAGTACATATGCATGTTTGCATGACCCAAATTACAAGAGAATAAAGGAGGGACTGCATGGTAATTCCCCCAGGGGGTGCTTTCTCACTTTCTCAGTCTCTTTCTCTGCCCATCTCTCTCAGGCATGCACAAGTGCCTGGTAGCAATTTTTTTTAAAAAAATAATTATATATTTTTATAATTTTTAAAATTTGCTATAGGACACATCTGCTTACCAGAGAGAAAAAAAAAATGTGAGAAAGCAAACCATCGGGTCCAGCATTTGAACCACTGTGGCTGACCATGTGGAGTCCAGGACCTTAACCACCACATCACATCTTCCAATAGGGTACTCAATGTATGAAAAGGAAATAGTTTTCATACATTTATAATGATATAAATTGGGAAGATAAAAGGACCTAATGGAAGTAAGGTTTTTATAAATGAAGTACTAAATTGTTAGTATCATTAAAATGTGACGATTTATGCATATTACAATTCCTAGGACATGCTCTGAGCAAACACCATCTGTCCCTTTGGGCTATGGCAGAACCTTGCAACTTGTCATTTCCTTGTCCCTCGCTGCAGGCAGAGCAAAGGGTGGAAACTGTTAGGGTGTTCCAACATCTGATGGAATTCAGGAAACATCCTGACCCCCAATTATCAAAGTACAATTCCCACTCTGCCTCTGTGAGATTCTTCAGCTTTCTTCAGGTGGGCGTGGTGGTGCCCACCCTATGGTGAGATTCTTTAGCCTTATGTATTTTCCCCACACCTACAGCTAGGCTTCTCTCTCCACTAGGAAAGTAGTTTAATAGGACTTCTCCATGATGTGATTATCATCAGGAGATACACCCAGATTCACCTGGCTTAGTAAATCTAAGCTCTTACAGATTTGTTACCTGCTTATTGCCTGTAACCTGGCAACAAATCTATGGAATGTCGTAAAATACACATGTAGTGTTGCTTTGCCCTATATTTAAATGAAGATGCTCAATTTGTCTGGGCAGCACAAGTTGCTTGGGCTCAGGCTACCTGTGTCCACTTCTACTCTGTCTTTCTGTTTCTTCTTAGAGCCAAGCCCGGGGAGGACGCCGACAGTAATCCACCTGTATATGGTGGATTAAGGCTGCTAGATCCCACATGGTTAACTGGGTGGCCTGAGTCCTGGACCCAGTGACTTGAAAAACACACCTGTTGCGGGGACCAGCAGGTGGTGTGGTGTTTAAGGTGCTGAACACTCCTATATGGTCAACGATGGTTTGAGTCCTGGACTTGGTGGCTTGCTTTCTCATTTTCTCTGGTCTACTCAAAATACATGAATGAATAAAAAAGGTTAGAGGCAGTTATGCTTTAAAAAAAAAAAAACAAGAAAGAAAAACACACCTATTGCACACACATGTCCAAATTCCAGAGAGAATGGTGAAGGCCATCCCCCAGGGGGATGATTTATTTTCCCTCTCACTCTCCCCCTCTCACAACCACACAGGCCCTATAGCAAAATTAAAAACTAAAATAAAGGGATACACAAAAATTTACTATAATTTATCAAATTCTCAAAGATTAAGTAACCCACAGAAAAGGAAAAATAAAACCCAAATAATGACATTAAAGAATAAGAATAGAGAACAAGTAAAAATCTAATCAAAAATGGCAAACTTGAGCCTTGAAATATCAGTAATTGGGCATGGTGGTTAAGGGTGCTGGACTCCCACACAGCCGATTGTAGTTCAAATCCTGAACCTGGTGGCTTGCTTTCTCACTTTCCCTTTCTCTGTCTCATTCTGTCCTTCTCTGGTCAAATTAAAATAAATGAATACATAAAGTTACATAAAATAATTCTGAAAAAAGTCAGTAATTGGGAACCAGCAGTTAGCGTAATGGCTATGTTGCTGGACTCCCATGTAGTTGACCGCGGTTCGCATCCTGGACCTGGTGGCTTAAAACTCACGCCAGGCGTGTGTGTGTGTGCGTGCCCAAGATCCCAAGAGGAGAATGGATTGCAGCATGACCACCCCCTCCTGGGGGGTGATTTCTCGCTTTCTGTCTCTATGTCTCTGTCTGGCGAGCGCACGCGCCCTATAGCGAAAACCTCCCCCCCCCAAAAAAAAAGTCAGTAATTATTTTTAAATACTAAATATATCAACTAAAAGATGAGAGCCAGTAGATGGCCTAGCAGTTGTGTCCCTCCACTCCCACATAACCGACTGCATTTTTGAGTCCTAGACATAGTGGCTTGAAAATCACGCTGGGTGTGTATGCATGCGTGTTCAAGATCACAGGAGGAGAATGGAGAAGGGATGGCACTATGGCCATCCCCTGGGAGTAAATTCATGCTTTCTGTCTGTCTCTCCAGTGAGCGAACATGCCCTATAGCAAAAATCTCTCTCTTAAAAACAAAAACAAAAAAACCCTAAAAGCCAAATAATGTCAGGCCACTCAGCAGTGGCCTGGTGATTAAGGTGATGGATCGTACATGGCTGACTATGCAGTTAGTTCTGGACCTGGCAGCTTACAAACACAACAGGTACATGTGCATGTGCCCAAAAACCCAAGAGAAGGGACGGTGGTGTAGCTAATCCCTGGAAGGGGGTGGTGGTGATTTCTCTCTCTGGCGATTGCACATACCCTAGAGCAAAAGCTTTAAAAAAGACAAAAAAAAAAGCCAATTAAAGTCAAAGCAGGTATAAGAAAGGATATAAGACAAATCAGAGCATAAATCAGTGAAATTAAGGATATAAAGATAAAGAAAAATCAGTGTTATAAAATGCTGAAGTGATTGGGACCAGCAGTTGGAGTAATGGCTATGTCGCTGGACTCCCATGTAGTTGACTATGGTTTGAGTTCTGGACCCAGTAGCTTAAACTCGTGTGGGGCACGCATATGTGTGTGCCCAAGATAGCGAGAGAAAAATGGAGAAAGAATTGTGGTGTGGTCATCCTCCTAGGGGTGTGATTTCTCACTATCTCTCTGTCTTTCCGGTGAGTGCACATGCCCTATTGTAAAAACCTCTCTAAAAAAACAAACAAAATTGCTGAAGTGTTAATAAAACTGATAAATGTCTGAGAACACTGACAAAAATAAAGAGAAAAATAATTACATTTCCAATCCCAGGAAGAAAACAGAGGATATAAATACAGATTCTGCTGCCATCCAAAGGATAAAGGACCAGCAGATGGTGTAATGGTTATGTCAATGGACTCCCATGTAGTAGACCGTGGTTTGAGTCCCAGACCCAGCAGCTTAAAATTCACACCTAGTACATATGCGTGTGTGCCTCTGTGCCTAAATTCCAAGAGAGATTGGGGCAGAAGGGACTGTGATGTGGCCACCCCCCCCGGGGGGTGATTTCTTGCTTTCTGTCTGTGTCTCTCCGGTGAGCGCAAGCACCCTATAGCAAAAATCTCTCAAAATAAAAGGATAAGGGAATTTGAAAAAATACTACAAAATTTTCACAAAATTAAACTTTTTTTTGAAAACAACAAACTTTGAAAATTCATTCAATATGAAATAGTCTTACAGTATTAAAACTATTAAATATAATAAATATATAATTTAAAAACATCCAAAAGAAAAACTCTAAGAGATTGCTAGAAAATGCTATCAAACATTAAAATAACAAGTAACACTAGTTATATACATGATCTTTCAAAAAAAGAACTCCTTCCATCTCATGTTTGGGAAGGCCAGGGTCATTTAGACATCCAAACCAGACATAAAACAGTTAAAAACAAATATACAAAAGAACAAAGAAAGGGAGGGAGAACACATCTTTATCATTAAAAAAAAAAAAAAAACTAGAGAAAAGTCTCAAAATATTGAATATAAGCAAACGCAATAACATATATGACATAGTTAAACAATTATACTCCACAAACAAGAGTGGTTTAGTCTAAGAATGCAAGGCCAGTTCAATATTCAAAACGTCATCAATGTAATACATCATATCAATAGGCCTATTATAGAAGGAAAACCTCATGATTATTATCAATCCATAGAGAGAAAGTATTTAACAAAACAGGATGCTCATTTAGAAGAACAATGAATATCAGCAAACTGGGAACAGAGGGATAGTTTCTATACCTGATAAAGAACATCTATTTAAAAAAAGATTACAATTAACATTATACTCAACAGTAAAAAAAAAAGTTTCCCCATCTACTATTAGGAATTAGGTAGGAATTGCCTTTCTCACTATTCCTATTCAAAATTACACCTGAAGCCAGATCTCATACCATAAAATAATAAAAGGAAATAAAAGGTATACTGATGGGAAGAAAGAAATGAAACTATACTTGCATATGACATTTCTATGGAGACAATCCCAAGGAATCCACTGAAAGAAATACTAGAAATTAAGTGAGGTTGCATGATAGCAAAAAGGCATCAAAGTTATCCTTTTTTTTTATACTATCAAATATTACACAGAATTTCCAAGTTTCAACAATGGTATTTACAATCTCTAACAACAAACACGGGGTACACATGTAACCAAAATACACAGAAGTAACATGCTGAAAATTATAAAACACCAATGAAAGGAAATTAAGGACTGCTTAACAAATGAAGAGACATACCATGTCATAAACTGCATGACTCAATGTAACAAAGACAACGATTCTCAATAAACCGACTCAATTTCTATCAAAATCCAAGCAAATTTTTTATAAAACTAGAAAAATGAACCTTAGAGTATATATTGGAAGTAAAAGGAATGCTAAAATGATTCTGAGTATTAAGGAGAAATCACTTTACCCAATACTAAGATTTACCATATGGCTGTAGTAATCATGAAAACCAATAGATGTGGAACAAGAAAAATTTTGTTAGGTGTTTAAAACCACATAAAGTAACTTTAAGAATCAAAGACCTCTGGGTGTGTGTATGCCCAAAATCTTGAGAGAAGGGATTGTGTCATGGCCATCCCCCCTTAGGGGGTGATTTCTCCCTTTCCGTCTCTCTGTGTCTCCAGCAAGCGCATGTACCCTACAGCAAAAATCTCTTAAGAAAAAGAATCAAAGACCTAAACAGTCTTAAGAGATGCAATAAAACGTGCCCATTCATGTGTATCCTTATTGCCTTAAACATGAAAATGTTTCATGGCTAAAGCCACCTACTTTCTCATAAAAAGTTAAACTCCTAGAGAGTACAAGTATTATGGAACACATAAACTATGCAATAGACGTGTGTATACTTGCTCTTAACTGTCTTATTCTCCTGACCTTGGATAGCAATGTAAGTATACACAAAACACAAAAAGAGATCAAGGACCTCTATCTCTAAAATGATACTCCCCTTCTTACAAACAAACTAGGGAATCAGTGCTTGGCAGAGGTGTCTGAAAATATTTGTGCTTGCATTTCATGTTCTACTACATCTCCTCCTTGTTTTAAAAACAATTCCTGAGATAATATTACATGTAAACTAAGGAGAAAGATATAGCTAAAGTTTTCCTATGTGCACAATAACCACTAGGTCTCTCTGGGATAAACTGTCAGAGAGAGAATAAGGCTATAGGCTAGGTTAATTTTTCAATTTGACTTTCTAGATGGCAGAAAACATTCTGCAAGTTTTCCTATACTGAAGACACTTGTGGTGTTTCTCTTTGGTATGTATGACTAGATACTGAGGAAGATGTTTCCTCTTGCAAAAGATTTTCCTCAGTGGTTACATTCAAAAACTCTCTCCCTAAAAGAAGTTCTCGAAGTGTAAGCGAGGTATGCCCACTTGTGAAAGGTCTATTCACGTCCGTTACACTGGTATGTGTGAAAGGCCTCCCCACATCTGTTACACTGGTATGTATAAAAGCTCTTCCCACATTTGTCACACCAACAGGGTTTCTCCCACTATGCATCTTTTGATGCTGAGTGAGAGATGAGCTGCGACTGAAGGCCTTTCCACACTCACTGCATCTATACGGCTTCTCCCCAGTATGGATGATGGAGTGTCGAATGAGGTTTGTGCTCCAGTAAAAAGATTTCCCACACTCATCACATTCGTAAGGTTTCTCTCCAGTGTGAATCTGCTTGTGCCTTGTGAGGCCTGATCTGCGGTTGAAGGCCTTCCCACACTCAATGCACTCATAGGGCTTCTCTCCAGTGTGGATGCTGAAATGTCGGATGAGGTCTTTCCGATTGCTAAAGGCTTTCCCACATTCTTTGCACTCAAAAGGTTTTTCTCCAGTGTGAACCCGCTGATGCCTCTTGAGGTAAGACCTGTGGTTGAAGGCCTTTCCACATTCAAGGCACTCAAAGGGCTTTTCCCTGGTATGGATAACATAGTGCTGAATCAGGGCTGTGCTCTCCAGAAAGACTTTCCCACATTCACTGCACTCATAGGGCTTCTCCCCTGTATGAGTCTGCTGGTGCCACATGAGATATGACCTGTGTTTGAAGACATTACCACACTCCAAGCATTCGTTGGGATTTTCACCATTGTGGACGACACGGTGTCGAAGGAAACTTGGCCTATGTGGAAAAACTTCCCCACATTCTGTGCATGCAAAGGATTTTTCTCCAGTGTGTCTCCTGTTATGTAAGACGAAATTGGAGCGGTGGGTGAAGGCTTTTCCACATTCACTGCACTTATAAGGCTTTTCTCCACTGTGAATCCGCTGGTGCTGTGTAAGGTATGACTTACGGTTGAATGCTTTCCCACACTCCATGCACTCATATGGCCTATCCCCAGTATGGATCATGTGGTGCTGAAGGAGATGTGTGCTCTTAATAAAAGTTTTCCCACACTCTGTGCATTCATAGGGCTTCACTCCAGAGTGAATTTTCTCATGTCCAGCAAGGAGATGTTTCTTGTTAAAAACTTTCCCACATTCATTGCACTTAAAGATATTTTCCTCTTCCTGAATTGTGGGATCTTTACCTAATCCATGAATGTTACACTTGTAGAGAGTATCTCCTAGAGAGTCTTGTTTCTGTACAATCCTTGAACACACATCATCAGCTGTCCTAAAACTATCATGTTCAGGGCTCGTTTTTTCAGGATGCTTCTGAGGATCTATGCCTGGTCTCATATGTTCTTCCTGAATTTCAGATGGCCCATCCTGACACTTGGCTAGCACCAAATGGGAATCACCTAAATTTCCTTGTGCTAGTTCTCCCCAGAGGGAGACTCCCTCAGACAAGGCTGGCTTGTAAGTGGTACACTCTGTGTTCTTGGGTTTTCTTTTGTCACCTGAAAGAAATCCAACACACAAGGGAGCCTATTAGTAATAACAATGTAGAAAAAACAAAAACACTATTTCCTTTAAAAACTAAAGATAAAAATAGTGCCTCTATGTTTGGTAGGTTGTGATCTCTGCAACTCAGATTGCAATTTCTTTTTCTTCCTGGTCCTTGGATTCTGGATACCTTGAAATTAAGACCTAGGAAAAGAGGATGAGTCAGGGGACAAAGGGTCTATAATGGAGTTGGATTTGCCACTGGCTGGCCCAGAGATAAAATTCTTTATGACTAATCTGACATGCATAATGCCCACAGCTTTCTCTTGATGAGTCACTTACTGTGGCTCAGACACTGGGCTGTTTTTTGGCATGAATGCACCAAGTAAGTACATTCTCTCCACACAACCCAGTGACAAAGAAATTACCATCACTACCAATTTCTAGGAACAGACTTGAGCGGAGTGGACTAAGCAAATGTTCACCACACCACCTGCTCTTTTCTGTGAACGAAGATCTGAGACACTTTCCCCAGCTCCATGGGACCACGTGAGGTCACATGCCTAGTTCTTGTGGACAGAATGTGAGTGGAACTGCTGCTTCTGGAGGTGTGTGTGATTTCCTGCCTCTCTCCATCCTCTGTCAGTTGGGGATATCAGGAAATCCTTGAAGCAATGGGCTGACAATAGAAAGTATCTAGGTCCCTGCAAGACTGTGTGATACAGAGTTCCCCACTAATCCACACAGACCTTGGTTAAGAGTGAGGAAAACAGCTTTCATATGCTGAGCTACTGAGACTGGAGTTTGTCAGATATAGCTAGCATTAACCTGGCTAAACTTATTTACTAAAACACACATGATGCAACCTCACTGGGACCAGAGAGCTGGAAATGGGCAAGCCCAGTTTCAAGCTACACAGTTGGAGCCCAGAGACAGATCTTAGCTCATTCACCTCATTCCACCCTGAGTATGAAGGGAGAACAGAGGGACCAGAGGACAAAGGGCTCCATGGTTGCCAAATCTCTAGAGAGGCTGCATCAAGAAGGTTCCCAAGAGATTCCAGGGTTTGTTGTCTCCTCTGTGCCTCAAACCTGTAGGGACTCCCTCCTGCCTAGTTCTTGGCTCCTACCTGGATAGATGCTTTGGGAGAGGTCTTTCTTCACGGTCCATAGCTCCTGCCTGTGCTCCAGTTGGTAGATCAGCTCAGGTCTGGGAACAGGACACCCTGTTTGTGGAGAAAGAAGAAAACACACGGATATGGTGAAAGGATAAACATCCTTTCAAGTTAGTCTGGGACTTTAGGATAGACACCAGACCTTACAGCACAGTTGTGCTCTCTTCAGTGCAAACTAAATGCTGTCCTGTGACCCAGAAATCCAATGGCACAAGCATCACCTATGGGATCTAACCACCACCTGTGTAAACAATACAGTATTCCTTTTCGCTTCTCTTCTATAGAATCCCAAACCTGTTCAGATGCAGTCATTAGACCCTGAAAAAATAAGCCCCCTCCTTCCAGAATGTGCTCTGTAATCAATTCCAGGAAGTGAGGCTCATCTCATTGTACAGCTCACTGTACAAGGCCTTTACATGTGCAAGTCCTTTTACCCAGAATGCTGTTCTTTTGTCCACTGTGTTGCTTGTTAACTCTGAGTCTCAGCTCACATATCACTTATTATTATTTTTTAGAGAGGTTTTTGCTATAGGGTGCATGCACTCGCCAGAAAGACAGAGAGACAGAAAGCGAGAAATCACCCCCCAGGGGGGACGGCCACACCACAATCCCTTCTCCTCCATTCTCCTCTTGGGATCTTGGGCACGCACACGCACCCAGCCTGAGTTTAAGCCACCAGGTTTGGTACTCAAACTGTAGTCGACTACATTCTAAGAAATGTATCAGGCAATTCTGTTGTGAGAACATCACAAAATGTACTTACACCTAGATGGTATGGCACACAACACACCAAGGCTAGATGGCTTAGACCATCATACCTGCGATCCTTTGTTCACTGATATATAATCACATGGCATATGACTGTGTCTACAGTGTGTGTCCATATCCCAGGAACTGTGCCAAGCAATTTAAATGCATGATATCCTTTTGAGTTTAAATAAATTCATGGAGTAAATTATAGTATTGACATATTTAAAATATTGGCTCTTTTCTTCCCAAACAAGGTATGTCTCTTCATTGACCTAAGCCTCTTTTTCAACCCTCAGCAAAGCTGTACAGTGCTCTTCTTGTAAGTCATGGACTGAATGAGGATTCTGTTTTAAGATTTCCTTGCAGATTTCCCAGGAAGTCTGTATCCTAATCAATGACACAGATAAAACAAAACAAAACAAAAACAAAAACAAACAAGGTTCACACACATAAAGTGATCTACTAACAAGCATACAACTGGTAAATGAATAAGCCAATGTAGACTACATTGTTCTCTGAGCTATTTAATCATAAAACTCTATAAAACTGCACAGAGGAGCAGAGTCATGCATGATGACAGCACTGGTGGCAGCAGGAAAAAATCAATGGTAATGTGCACATAGCTTGGTCTCCTAGGCACTTTTCTGAGCCCATTATATACATTTACTCATTTACCTTTGCAATAGCCCTGGGAGTAAATAATTGTTCCTCTTACCAGTTAGCACACTGAGGCACAGATAGGCTCAGTAACTTGCTCAGGGCCATGGTTTTTAATAAGCATCACAAGGATGGAACAATATTGGTCTGGCTCCAGACCCTGGTTTCCCATGTACTACAGTAAGGAAAAAATGGCTAACAACCCCATGGGACCAGTAGCAGAGCCTAGGGGGTAGATGGGAGAGGCAGGGAGTTGAGCAGGATTCATTCTCAGAGGAACAGGACCAGGGAGGGGCAGACTCAATGACTCTAGACTATGCATTTCATGAACCATTAAAAACTTTAAAAATGGAGGGGCCTGATGGTGGCAGAAGAGTAAAATGCAAAACTTGCCAAGGTTGACCCACATGGGAGGGTCTGAGTTCATGTCCAGAGACCTTCCTGAACATGCCAGGCACATGTGCTCGTGACCAAGGGGTGGCTGAGGCTAGGAGTATATTGTGGCATCTGGACCCTATTGGGTGCTGTCTTTCTTTTTCTGTTTTTCCAGCCCAAAGAAGAAAGAAACTCAAAAAAAAATTTTTTTTAAATGTAATGTCCTACAGTGATATGTTTAAATAACATTTACTTGGGGTCAGCAGGTGGTGTAGTGGTTCGTGCACTGGAGTCCCACATGGCTGACTGTGGTTCTAGTCCTGGACCTAGTGGCTCGCTTCCTCACTTTCCCTCTTTCTCTGCATCTCTCTGGTGAATGCTCACGCCCTATAGCAAGTCAAAATAATAATAATAATAATAAACAAAATTGGGGCCAGCAGGTGGCGTGATGGTTAAGGTGCTGGACTCCCACATGGCCGACTGTGGTTTGAGTCCCTGACCTGGTGGCTTGCTTTCTCACTTTCCTTCTCTCTGTTTGAACAAATGGAAGAATACTAATAAAAAATAAAACTGAAATAATTCTTTAAAAAATAATTAACTTAAAAAAAAAAACTTTACAGAAACATTAAACATTAAACACTACCTACTGATTTCTCCCAAAATGAGAACTTTTACTAAAAGATACAAAAACTTCCCCAAAGGGGAACCAGCAGTTAGCGTAATGGCTGTGTCGCTGGACTCCCACGTAGTCGACCGCGGTTCGTGTCCCGGACCCGGTGGCTTCAAACTCACGCCGGGTGCGTGTGCGTGCGTGCCCAAGATCCTGAGAGGAGAATGGAGGAGAAGGGATTGCGGCGTGACCATCCCCCCTGGGGGGTGATTTCTCGCTTTCTGTCTCTCTGTCTCTCTGTCTCTCTCTGTCTGGCGAGCACACGTGCCCTATAGCAAAAACCTCTCCAAAAAAAAAAACCAAAAAACAAAAAACAAACAAACAAACAAAAAAACTTCCCCAAAGGATAGTTTCATACATAAAGCTTATCTTCTAACCTGAGTGACTTTAGGTTCAGACCCAATTCAGACCTCATTCAGACTCAATGAGGTAGTCACATTTTGCTGACTTTGCTAAGGACAGGTATTAATTTTTAATTTTCTGGATTTTGTTTTTACCTCTTGAAGGTTTTTCAGACATTCAGAGAGACTCTTCCATCGGGACTAGCTAATCTTGAGATAACAAACTCCCCTGGGAAAAGACAAAGGCCTTTCTATATGTGAACCACTCAACCTTAGGCCATACCCCAAATCACTTCCTTTTTCTAGCTCTCCAGTACCTCAGCAATTATTTACCCTGCCCTCAATCAATCCAGGCTGCGATGTCAAACAACTAGAGACAGCCCCTAGGCCCCAAAGCCTGCCACAAGTATTCAAATTACCAGTCCCAACTTATCTACCCTACCCTCGCTTGCCATTCCTGAAGACACTGTAATAATGGCTGTTGCCTAGGCTTTTCCCTCCTTCTTGCTCCTGCTGCTTCCCATGAGACTGTGTATGCAGTGGCCTATCCTCTTCTCGCAGGAACCGTTGGTAATCAATTCTTCTTATAATACCACCGACCTATGTGTTGCCACTAAGTCACAGCTGCAAGTCAAAATCCCATGAGTACAAGTTGATACAACTAGTGCACCAAGCACGGTGACCTAGTGTTGAAGGGAAGGGCAAGCCTCTAGGCTGTTTTCAGATTACTAAGTGACTGTACCATGAGTCCTGTCTGGGAAAGCACTGCTGTCACCTCATTTCTACTGTGGCTGCTGCCATGGGTTCCAACCTGAAGTGCACTTGGATCCTAGGGCTAGCTTTATGGCCTATTGGTTAAGGGAGCCAAGTATCACATGGCCAACGAAGAAGGTCAAATGCCAGCTCCAGCAGCCTGAAAAAACAAGCTGGACACATGTGTACCCCGAGTTCCAGCTGCAACACAGAATTCCACTGGTAAGGTCATGTAGTATGCCCTCCTTATGCTATCATGGCACCAAAGAGGCTTAAATGATTTCAAGGGGAGGTCTCTTCAGTGTTAGATGCCTTATTGCTAATGGAGTTCACCTCCGTCACCTTAACCTTGCAGAATATAAAAGAGTCTATTCTTAGAGACCATGGTCTCAATGTATAGTGAACAAAAGGGGGCACGGAATACTTTGCTCCTATTGCCCGCAAAGACTCCTGAGAAAGTTTTCTCGACTCACTTGAGGTTGTCAAATCTCTGGCCAGTATGCTTAGGCACTCGAGTGCAGTGGCCTATCAGATGCTAAATCTTCTCCTTAAAGACGAACTGTCATAAAAGTCAGGTTATCGTCCCTCCTGCTCTCAAATATGTACACCTCAGACCCAGTGAGGCCAACTGGGAACCTTCAGAAGGGAGGCCACTGCTCACAGCAGAAGCTGCTTGATAAATATATCAGGCTAGGAGTCAGCCAGGTGGCATAGTGTTTAAGACAGCTGGATCCCATATGGTCAATTCTAAGGTTTGAGTCCTAGACTCAGTGACTTGAAAAACATACCAGGCTTAAGTGATGTGTACCCAAAATCCTGAGTGGAGAACAGACAAGGCACTGTTGTGTGACCATCCCTTCTTGGGGGTGCTTTCTTAGTCCCCCTACAACCTTGTCTCTCTCTTGCAAGTGCATGGCCCTATAACAAATTAAAAAGAAAAACAAACAGTGGCAACAGACAAGAGAGAAAAAGGCAAAATTTTACTCACATAGTTATACAAGCTATTCTACAAAATTTTTCTTTTAAGTTGTCAGAGACATACCCTCATGAGAGAGATTCCCCCCAGACCCAGTGAGGCCAACTGGGAACCTTCAGAAGGGAGGCCACTGCTCACAGCAGACGCTGCTTATAACAGCCGATAAATATATCAGGCTAGGAGTCAGCCAGGTGGCATAGTGTTTAAGACAGCTGGATCCCATATGGTCAATTCTAAGGTTTGAGTCCTAGACTCAGTGACTTGAAAAACATACCAGGCTTAAGTGATGTGTACCCAAAATCCTGAGTGGAGAACAGACAAGGCACTGTTGTGTGACCATCCCTTCTTGGGGGTGCTTTCTTAGTCCCCCTACAACCTTGTCTCTCTCTTGCAAGTGCATGGCCCTATAACAAATTAAAAAGAAAAACAAACAGTGGCAACAGACAAGAGAGAAAAAGGCAAAATTTTACTCACATAGTTATACAAGCTATTCTACAAAATTTTTCTTTTAAGTTGTCAGAGACATACC